AAGTAATCAAGTTATTACAATGGTTACACATAGTCAGTTCTGCTTTCACATCAGCAGGATTCCTGAATGTGCTGACATTACATGGGTTTTTATTGAATTTGCTTCACACATTGAACTGTAATGGAATCAACCTCACTTCAAGGCACCATTTAATTTCAGACATTAGTATTGCAAATAAATGCAAGAAACCTGGATGAACCTCATCTCCAATCACAAGGTCATTGGTTTGCCTGTTCCTTTACTTTTTATTTCATGTTAGAAGCTTTTATTTTCTGTTCATTATTGGAATAAAACTATAGTTTTTACTTCTGTCTTTATAGTAATCTGTCATTCATGTCCCCTAACCAAACAATGTGAGACAAGTTAAATGCTTTAATACTTATTTAGACAGGGTGGGTTACATCCCGACCAAAGCATAAGGAATAGTAATAGTGATTGTTTTATATGCTAAATTACTGGATATCATTGCTGTATTCACTGGTGTCTTAAACAAAACTTGTTTTAATGTGTGCAGATAGTGGAGGCTCCTGTAAAAGTGTGGTTGTGGATTTTTTAAAACTTTCGAATCAGTCTCTATTTCTCTCTATTTCCCTTCAGCCTCCTCTTGTTCTTGCTGTCATGTTGTTGCCCCTCTCACATTTATTTCTAGCTCAGTCTTTCCCACATGCTTCATATAAACCCTGTAAATGTGAATTGATTACATTAGCAAAAAAAAAAAAAAGGGTACATTAAGTTGGCATGTTTTATGCAAGTCAAACATGATAAAATGCATGTATAAAATTAATAATAATATAATATAATATAATATAGTATAATATAATATAATATATTGCTGAAGGTATTTTCTAGAAAACTAGACTGAGATTGAGACAACTTTTTTTTTTTTTTTTGTAGTGTAATAGTAATAATAATAATAATAAAATATATTTTCAGATTTTGTGTCTTTGTTTTTCCGCAGGGCTGAAATCACTCTAGGGAATATCATCAAAAAGAAAGGCTGGAGGTGACCTGCTTTTGTTCTTATGTCTGTCATTTTTTATTAATTTTGTGGCAGAACAGTCTGAGTATATGAATAACGCAGCCTAATATACATATTCCTCTCAGCCTCAATTTATGGAAAATGTTTTTATGTTTTATCTTGAATTTCTGTATTCCTGTAAGACAGTATTAGGTTTGTCCTCACTATAATAAACACCCAAAAATCTGTTCCAGACGGTCCAGTTATGTAATAACGACTAAGATCTACTGGGGAGGACAGTGAGTATCTGTTCAGTTCTATCTTGTAGTATATTCAGACCGACACAAAAGATTCAGAATAGTATCAAAATGAATATTTGTAATCGCACAAGTTCTTAAAAAAAAAGGTTCTTTAACTATTTGTCTCTTTGTTCTTTAACTATAAGTCTTTAACTATAAATCTTAGATGATCAGCAAATGTAGTATGTGACAATTTGTAAATCTGCAGAATCAAAAATCAATAAATGCAAAAGAAAAAAATGTGAACACACTTGATTTTGTGAAGGTAAACAATTTTACAGACTTTTATCCAAAAGTTAGTTGCGATCCATTTCCGCCACTAAATTAAAAAAATAAAGGTAATTGTGACTTATCTCACAATTCTGACTTTTTTCCCCCTCAAAATTGTGTTTACATTTCGTAATTCTGACTTTTTTTTCTCAAAATTGCGAGTTTACGTTGCGCAATTCTGACTTTTTTTTTCTCAAAATTGCGAGTTTACATTTCGCAATTCTGACTTTTTTTTCTTCTCAAAATTGCGAGTTTACATTTAGCAATTCTGACTTTTTTCTATTGCGAGTAAAGTCAGAATTGCAAAATATCAACTCAAGACAAGACAGAATTGTGAAAAAAAACTTGCATTTGTGAGAAGAAAAGTCAGAATTGTGGGAAATAAACTTGCAAAGGCGAGAAAAAAGTCAGAATTGTGAGATACAACATTGCAGTTTTTTATTTTTTGTTCAGTGGCGGAAACAGGCTTCCATAATATACAAATAAAATTAAAATGGTGTGTTTAAAATATAGCTTATTCAATACCAGCTGCTTGTTCACCATGTTGCAGCATGCTGACACTCAGTACAAGTTAAACTGATTGCACTTTGTGCATATTCATCTTGACTCCATAACTATCCTCTCTGACATTTGCATTCATAATCCTCAGGGCAGAGACAGAGAGAGGCCTGTCCAGAAAACACATCATAGAAGGTAAAGTGCTGTTTATGACTAATAAGACGATCACAATAAAGCGGACAGACAGTGATGGTGATGTGTCTACAGGTCTCAGAGGTTCCCTGTCTAGACTACAGCTGGATTACGTGGATATTGTCTTTGCCAACCGAAATGATGTGAACAGCCCTATGGAAGGTCTGTAATTTCTTTTACATCTTTCATGGCATGTGTTGCGGATGCATAATTTATGGCATATCGCTTATCACAAGTGCTGTTGTGTGTTTGTCTTTACAGAGGTAGTACGTGCGATGACATTTGTTATAAACCAGGGTATGGCCATGTACTGGGGCACGTCACGCTGGAGTGCCATGGAGATCATGGTACAGTCGGTCTTCTCTCAATACACCAAAACTGATCACACTTCATTCTGGGGACCAATTCTCACTATATTCTAACTACAACTTTTGCCTCAATAAACTTTTAATAAGGCATTAATATGTGCTTTAGAAGTACTAATAAACAGCCAATATGCTAGTAATATGCATGCTAATAAGCAACTAGTTAATAGTGAGAATTAGTCCCTGAATTAAATTGTTACCTCAAAATTCATACTATGAGCATTCCTGTGTCTTATCTGTTTCTCGTGTAAGTCAAGGCAAAAGCTACTCGCAATTTAAAGTAGTTAAAATTACTAAGTCAAGCAACTCCTTTAAGAAAATAGCTTAAAGCCATTAAGCCATAAGGGGATAATGCCTTTTAAAATGTACTGTCCAGCGATATCATTTTTATTTTTATTTTTATTTCTATTTTTCTTAAGCATGTTGAAAAAACTCACATATATATGTGACCCTGGAGCACAAAAGCAGTCTTAAGTCGCTGGGGTATATTTGTAGCAATAGCCAAAAATACATTGTATGGGTCAAAATGATTGATTTTTCTTTTATGCCAAAAATCATTAGGATATTAAGTAAAGATCATGTTCCATGAAGATATTTTGTAAATTTCCCACTGTAAATATATTAAAACTTAATTTTTGATTAGTAATATGCATTGCTAAAGACTTCATTTGGACAACTTTAAAGGTGATTCTCTCTTTTGCACCCTCAGATTCCAGATTTTCCAATAGTTGTATCTCGGCCAAATATTGTCCTATCCTAACAAACCATACATCAATGAAAAGCTTATTTGTTCAGCTTTCAGATGAGGTATAAATCTCAATTTCGAAAAATTGACCCTTATGACTGGTTTTGTGCTCCAGGGTCAGATATTTATATGTAAACATACTTTAGTGATGAAACTACATTTGACCACAAATTTTGACCTCAAATACTTTTATTCTTTTATCAAGAAGATTTAAGGATTCGATATATTTTTTAAACCGATTCTAGCAGTTTCCAATGCTGCATATGAAAAAAAATAAAATAAATGGAAAGTGTATTATGGAAAATATTATGGAAGCTGTTTATGCCACGAAATAAAAAATAAAAAGTAACTGTGACTTTTTAAACATGGAATTGTGAGAAAGAAATTCTGAGCATTCTATCTCGTAATTCTGTTTTTTTTTTTGCCCTGCCACAGAATTCAAAACTAGTAATTGTGACTCAAAATTAATGTTTTTCCCCCCAGAGTTTCTCACATTTCTGACTTTTCTTTTCAGAGTCTATATTTCGCAATTGTGAGTTATACATTTGCAATTGCAAGTTAATATCTCACAGTTCTGATTTTATATCTTGTAATTCTGATTTTAGTCTTATTTTATCTCATTTCAGAATCAGAATCAGAATCAGAAGAGCTTTATTACCAAGTATGTTTACACACACAAGGAATTTGACTTGACGACAGGAGCTTCCAGTGTAGAAGAAAGTACAAACATAGTGCAGACATACATGATAGTGCAGACATACATAGGAATAACACAGTAGGGATGTAATATAACACTAATATAATAAAAAAAAAAGAAAAATTGAATAATGTACTATATACAGAAATAGAAGTATAGGAACAAAAGTAATTGTTTAGATAAATGTACAGATATGTTTATTAGTGTGCAGATATGTTATTTACAAAGTGTGCAGTTTAATATAAATATACTATGTTAGTTGTGATGGACGATGTATAATTATGAAAGATTAATTGTTCAGACTGAATATAGCTTGTGGGAAAAAACTGTTCTTGTGCCTGACTGTTCTGGTGGTCAGTGCTCTGTAGCGCCGACCAGAAGGCAACAGTTCGAAGAGAGAGTGGGCTGGGTGTGAGGGGTCCAAGGTGATTTTTTTAGCCCTTTTCCTCACTCTGGAGATGTAAAGATCTTGGAGGCTGGGCAGAGGGACACCAATAATCCTCTCAGCAGTCCTGACTGTCCGTTGTAGTCTCTTGATGTCTGATTTGGTTGCTGAACCAAACCAGACAGTTATGGATGAACACAGGACAGACTCAATGATAGCAGAGTAGAACTGTTTCAGCAGCTCCTGTGGCAGGTTGAATTTCCTCAGCTGGCGAAGGAAGTACAACCTCTGCTGGGCCTTTTTTGCAATGGAGTCTATGTGAGTGTCCCACTTCAGGTCCTGAGAGATAGTGGTGCCCAGGAACCTGAATGACTCCACTGCAGTCACAGTGCTGTCCATGATGGTGAGTGGGGGGAGTGCAGGGGGTTTTCTCCTGAAGTCCACGATCATCTCCACAGTTTTGAGCGTGTTAAGCTCCAGGTTGTTAAGACTGCACCAGACAGCCAGCTCTTTAACCTCCTGTCTGTAAGCAGACTCGTCTCCATCCTTGATGAGGCCGATGACTGTAGTGTCGTCTGCGAACTTCAGGAGCTTGACAGAGGGGTCTTTAGAGGTGCAGTCATTCGTGTAGAGAGAGAAGAGCAGTGGGGAGAGTACACATCCCTGGGGAGCGCCAGTGCTGATGGTGATAGTCCTGGTTGTGAGTTTGCCCAGCCTCACTAGCTGCTGCCTGTCTGTCAGGAAGCTGGTGATCCACTGACAGATGGAGGTGGGCACGGAGAGCTGGGTGAGTTTGTCTGAGAGAAGGTCAGGCATGATGGTATTGAAGGCCGAACTGAAGTCCACAAGTAGGATCCTTGCGTAATTCCCAGGTCTGTCGAGGTGTTGCAGGATGTAATGCAGTCCCATGTTGACTGCATCATCCACAGACCTGTTTGCTCTGTAGGCAAACTGAAGAGGATCCAGCAAGGGTCTAGTGATGTCCTTCAGGTAGGCCAGGACCAGTCTCTCAAGTGACTTCATGACCACAGATGTGAGAGCGACAGGTCTGTAGTCGTTAAGTCCAGTGATTTTGGGCTTTTTTCTGAGAAAAAAGTCTGAATTGTGAGATATAAACTTGTCTTTTTTATTTATTTATTTTTATTCTGTGGCAGAAACAGGCTACCATAGATTATTACCTCCATTAAAAATATCAATATAACATTTGGTTGTGCTACACTTCTACTTATTGGAAGAAGTGTCCTACTTGTTACTGGAAACGTTACAATATTATTATGAAAATATGTGACCCTGGACCACAAAACCAGTCATAAGGGTACATTTTTTTGAAATTGAGATTTATAGATCACCTGAAAGCTGAATAAATAATAGCTTTCCATTGATGTATGGTTTGTTAGGATAGGACAATATTTGGCCGAGATACAACTATTTGAAAATCTGGAATCTGAGGGTGCAAAAAAATCTAAACATTGAGAAAATCGCCTTTAAAGTTAAATAAATGAAGTTCTTAGCAATGTATATTACTAATCAAAATTTATGTTTTGATATATTTACAGTAGGAACTTTACAAAATATCTTCAATAAACATGATCTTTACTTAATATCCTAATGCTTTTTGGCATAAAAGAAAAATCATTCATTCTGACCCATACAATGTATTTTTGGCTATTGCTCGAAATATACCCGTGCTACTTAAGACTGGTTTTGTGATCCAGGGTCACATATATGAACTACTGTCAAAAATTGTATTAAATTAACGTCTGTACTATTAGTTAATTACTCCCCAACACTGCTGTTTGCATTGGTTGTTAAGATCTGGGCCACTGAAAGGACAGTTTAACCCCTTTTTGTCTGTGTGTTTGTGTGTTTAGGAGGCATACTCTGTAGCGAGGCAGTTTAATTTAATTCCACCGGTATGTGAGCAGGCCGAGTATCACTATTTCCAGAGGGATAAAGTCGAGGTGCAGCTGCCAGAGCTCTACCACAAGATCGGTCAGTCAACAAGAGTTACCTTAGAATTCAATTTAAAATACATCATTGAAACCTTTAATTTATTTATTTTTTTCTATTTAAATTTGTATTATTACAAAGTGAGCTTTTTAAAGTGACTTAAGTGTGTTAAGAAAGTCATGAAATTGGACTATTTAAACACACTCATATGACTTTTTATTGCATCAAGATTATCTGCAAGTACAGTGTTTTAAAATGGTCTTAAAGGTTTAAAGTACATGTCATTGTGGTGTTACCACAATATACAATATCGAATCACTTTAAAGGTCTATGCCATCAAACCAAGTGTGTAATTATTCAACTAGCTAACAATAAACATGTTGTCAGTTAAGCTAACTTTGTTTTAGCGAAACCATGTCATTGCAATGGCAGTTGCTCAGCTGGTATATATGCTGCCCGTAAGTATTCAACGTGCCATGGGACGTAAATGTCATGTGACTGATCTCTTACTCTGAGCTCTTCGAAGCTGATGGGGAAAGCTAAAAGCCAAAATTAGTCACTGGTGAAACATATAATACAAATTAATGAACTATTTCTGATGTTTTTGATGTTTCATACTACAAAACTACATTTAGCCAATACAGAATAGAATGGCAGGATGCATTTACCGTGTCTATCTTGACCCCTGCTCCGGCGAGAAAAGATTTGACCTGAAAGAGAAAATTGACTGAAGTATTATTCTACAGTGCTATGCTGCAAATGCAACTTTTTTAATGCGCAACATCTTCGTTCATTTAAAGTTGAAGTTCATGTTTGATTTGAGGTTTAATTAGGACAGATGTCAACTCTAACTCCATGTCTTGTGACTGTCACATGCTGCGTCAGGTGTCGGAGCGATGACCTGGTCTCCTCTCGCATGCGGGCTGATCACTGGAAAATACAGTGATGGTGTTCCAGACTGTTCAAGAGCCGGGATTAAAGTGAGTCCTAAAGAGTTTGTCAACAGCAGTGGATTTTTTCTCTCTTCTCCTGAATCTCTTTTCAATTTCCAAGTGCTATTTGATTTGAAATTGTAATTGCATATAAATCATATTATAATCATGAATAAATCCATGTGAGCAATCATAAATGTTCAGTTGTGTGACTGTGTGTATTAGGGCTATCAGTGGCTAAAGGAGCGAGTGTACAGTGAAGAAGGGCGCAGACAGCTGGCAAAAATCAAAGAGCTCCACCTGGTGGCTGACAGGCTGGGCTGCACAGCTGCTCAGCTCGCCATTGGTGAGTCAGTGTCTCTATACTTTTGGTGTAAATGGTCTCGTCCACTCTCAAGCTTATTTTGGCCAAGAATCGTCCACTTATATGAGCTGCCCAGCTCCTGGAAGTTGCATAAAGTCAGCCAGGCAAATTAGAGCATGCCAGACTGAGAAAGTGTTTGTCATTATTGTGCGATATGCATCAGATAGTCATTGAACGGTCTGTGCTTTCAAATGTCTTGATGTTTTTTTATAAAACCCAGTCCTTGTGAACAATAAGGTTTTGTGAAATCTCTCACTCAGCATGGTGTTTGCGTAGCGAAGGGGTCAGTTCTGTACTTCTTGGTGTCTCCAATACAGACCAGCTTCTTGAGAACCTTGGAGCCCTGCGGGTAACACACACACACACACACACACACACACACACAACCATTTAAAAGCTTAGAATTCGAAAGATATTTTTACTGTCTCTTATGCTCACTGTGAGCATTTGTTTGATCAAAAATACACTACAAATTATTACGATGTGAAGTATTATTACAATTTAAAATAATATTTTCTATTTGAATATATTTAAAAATGTAATTTATTCCTTTGACTCCAGTCTTCAGTGTCACATGATCCTTCAGAAATCCTTCCTTTGTGAAAAAGAAATGCTTAATTGTACTTGCAGATAATATAATATTAATGAAATAATAGACCACTTAAGTGTACTTACACTCCCCTCCAAAAGTATTGGAACAGTGAGGCCAATTCCTTTATTTTTGCTGTAGACTGAAAACATTTGCGTTTGAGATCAAAAGATGAATATGAGACAAGAGATCAACATTTCAGCTTTTATTGGTAGGTATTTTCATCTGGATCTGATACACAACTTAGAGGATAGCACCTTTTGTTTGAACCCACCCATTGCTGATGTGACCAAAAGTATTGGAACATGTGACTGACAGGTGTGTTTTGTTGCCCTGGTCTGTCCTATTAATTGATTATTCAAACAATAAATAGCACTAAATGTCTGCGCTCAGTTTCAGATTTGGGTTTTGCCTGTGCAGGCAGCATTTATAGTTAGATGTGTAACCAACATGAAAACCAGAGATCAGTCTATGGGTGAAAAACAAGCAATTGTGAAGCTGAGAGAAGATGGAAAATCAATCAGAGCCCTTGCACAAACATTGGCCATAGCCAGTACAACCATTTGGAATGTCCTGAAGAAGAAAGAAACCACTGGTGTACTAAGTAACAGACCTCAAATGGGTAGGCCAAGGAAAACATCAGCAGTTGAAGACAAAAACATTGTGACAGCTGTAAAAAATCAAGACTCAGGACAGGGCAGGAGTGAAGGTATCACAATCTACTGTTCAGAGAAGACTTCATGAACAAAAGTACAGAGGCTACACCAGAAGATGCAAAGCACTCATTAGCAAGAAGAATAGGAGACGAGCCTCAAAAATTCTGGGACAAAGTTTTATGGACTGATGAGACAAAGATTACCCTTTACCAAAACGATGGAAAGGCTAGAGTTTGGAGAAAAAAGGATCTGCTCATGATCCCAAACATACAAGCTCATCTGAAACACAGTGGAGGTAATGTCATGACTTGGGCTTGCATCGCTTCTTCTGGGACGGTCTCATTAATCTTAATTGATGATGTAACACATGACGGCAGCAGCCAAATGAACTCAGAAGTCTACAGAAACATTTTGTCTGCCAGTTTACAGAAAGATGCTACCAAACTGATTGGGAGATCCTTCCTCATGCAGCAAGATAATGACCCAAAACATAGTGCCAAAGCAACAAAGGAGTTCATCAGGGGAAAGAAGTGGAAGGTTTTAGACTGGCCAAGTCAATTTACAGACTTAAACCCTATAGAGTATGCATTTTACCTGCTAAAGAAGAGACTGTACGGAGTTACCCCCCAAAACTAAAAGAGGCTGCGGTGAAAGCCTAGAAAAGCATCACAAAAGAAGAATGCAAAAGTTTGGTGATGCAGCAGGATTGATGCAGTTATTGCAAGCAAAGGATTTGCATCTAAATACTAAGTCTTATTCACTTTAATCTAGTTTCAGTCAATCTGTTCCAGTACTTTTGGTCACATGAGTAATGGGTGGGTTCAAGCAAAAGGTGCTATCTTCTAAGTTGTGTTTATCAGATCCAGATGTGAATACCTGTAAATAAAAGCTGAAATGTTGATCTCTTGTCTCATATTCATCTTTTGATGTCAAACCCAAATGCTTTCAGTCTACTGTACAGCAAAAATAAAGGGATTGGCCTCACTGTTCCAATACTTTTGGAGGGGAGTGTATAAACTTTCAAGAATGTTTTTACACACGTTAAAAAAATAACAATAATCAAATTAAAAGTCTTTAAGATCTTTTGTCAGAGTTAAAGTACACTTATTTTGATGTGCTGATTAGCCAGGGACGTGAACCTGTTTTCACATGGTTGCAAATGCAACGCCAAGTTTGTTCATTTAAATTTATTCAGTTTTAGCATTTAATAATTTATTTGTAATGATCTCTGAAATGTAAATTGTAAGTGGGCTATAATAAACCCATGTTTATCTTTATAAACATGATTAATTTTACTTGTGATGTTTTCTATTTGGGATGACAATCCTCATGAACACGTGACGCTAGCGCGTGGTATCGGACATGAACTGTACAGAATGCGAACAAGATTAACTTTAATACAAGGAGATAATGGCGCAAAAGCGAATTTCAGATTTTTTTAAATGCCCATCCCAGCAAAAACTTTCCAAAATCGGCATCCAGACAACACCAGCCCCAGCACCCCCCCCTCCCCCCACTTCACCCAACACGGACACACACAGCACCCCCAACCGAAAACATCTTCTCGCACCCCTGTGATTAGCATACTAAAGTACATTTAAAGTACTTGATTATTATTGTAAGTATAGTGTCATTTTATTTGATTTTATATATAGTTGATATATTTTATTTGTACTAAATTGCAATTCATCATTTGTGCAAAATGTGCAATTACAAATATATATTAAATACGTTTTAATATAAATTACATTAAAATATGTTTTATTTTACCTTAAATGCTTGTCAGTACATTCTGAAGTACACTAACCAAATTTTATGAAATTACATGTATGAAGACATACTTAAGCCCTACTTCAGTGGGTCAAACAAGATATAGAAAATTAATTATAAACTATAAAACATTTTTAACTGTAATGAACATGCATTACATTCAGTTTGCACTTAAATATGTTCTTTAAAGTATACCGTTTTCTTATGAAGTACTCATTTTAAAAGTTTGCTAAAGTTTCTGATTTGACACTCAAGCAAGGAACATTTCTCATTATTATCAATGTTTAAAACAGCTGTGCTGCTTTAATATTTTTGTGAAAACCGTGATGCATTTTTCACGATTCTTTGATGAATAGAAAAGTTCGAAAGAACAGAATTGATCTGAAACAGAAATCTTTTGTAACATTATAAAAGTCTTTTTTTATCAATGTAATGAATCTCTGCTGAATAAGTATTCGCTTCTTTCCTTACGATCATACAGACTTCCTAATAACACGATTTTCAAATTCTCACTAGCTGCTGTCTCAGATGACGCCTCAGACTGTGAGCGAGATAGATGCTCTCCTGGGCAACAAGCCTCACTCCAAGAAAGAGTCACGTGCGTGAGGGAACCAGAGAGATGACATGAACATGTGCGGCCAGAAAAGACAAAGAAAGCAAGGGGGAAAAGATGGAACACGGCGTACCATCGCTTTTCTGCTCTCCCGTATATTACAACACCTGCATGCCTTCTGCAACATGCTTCCAGCCCATACCGCCCTGCTCTCTGTAACCCTACTCAAGTACCATAACCTACGAATTAAACACGGAAACGGCTGTCTGCAACATCACAGAAATGCGACGAACAACAGCTGTTATCATTTCTTTACTCTGAGAGACTGAAGTTTCAGTCTTCCATGAGGAAGTACTGTGGATTGTAGGAGGAGATTGGAATGAAGTGGCAAAAAGCTTGTTTATTAGCAGGCCCAGACGAAATCTGCAGACTTTCACGCAGTTTCCGCTGTAGACTTCCACTGTTTCCACTGCCGAATTTCCATTGCCAAATTCTGTGAAATGGATCAAATGTGATAAAACTGGAGCTAAGAGTGGTATATTCTTATTGGCAGCTGAAAGCATTGTCGAATTTGCCAAAATATTTATTAAACCAACATGCACGGGGCAAATGATGTGTAGGACTTTGCAAAATCTGTGCAGATTCCGCATGGGCCTGGCTCTGCGGGTGTGTGTTCAAGGAAGTACGAATACGTGTGCATGCAGTGCCACTTTGAATGAAACTCTCCGTTGCTGGTGTTGCACCTGAGTGACTCGGAAAACGGATGCTGTGTGACGCCAAGCGAAGATGTTTCTGAGAGCTGCCTGTCCCGTTTGTTGGAGTGTTCACTGCCCGTCACATTTCATTCTCGCTGTGCAGGAGACCGTGGCAAACACTCCGGCGTGTGACAGGAACAACCTGCAGCAACTGCAAACAGCTGTTTGGATGCATCACAAGTCTTCCTCCATTTCCCTCCTTTCCATCTCTCCTTGTGTTTACAATGGTGCACCTGTCCCTTTAAGAGAATTTGTGCAGTTAGGGGAGTGGCGTGTGAGTGTGTATATCAGGGCTGTCCAAACTCGGTCCTGGAGGGCCGGTGTCCTGCAGAGTTTAGCTCCAACCCTAATTAAACACACCTGAACCAGCTAATCAAGCTCTTACTAGGCATAGAAACTTCCAGCAGGTGTGTTTAATTAGGGTTGGAGCTAAACTCTGCAGGACACCGGCCCTCCAGGACCGAGTTTGGACAGCCCTGGTGTATATGGTACCTTGCAAATATATTCAGACCCTCACCAATTTTTAACCCTCGACTTTTTTAAAAACAACTGTTTAGTCATTACTGCTATTCGTAACAAACACCTAACTCTCAGTAAACTTAAAGGGTTAGTTCACCCAAAAATGAAAATTCTGTCATTAATTACTCACCCTCATGTCGTTCCAGACCCATAAGACCTTCGTTCATCTTCGGAACACAAATTAAGATATTTTTGATTAAATCTGAGAGCTCTCTGACCCTCCGTAGACAGAAATGCAACTGCAATGTTTCCAGGTCCAGAAATGTAGCAAAGACATCAGTAAAATAGTCCATGTGACATCAGGGGTTCAACCGTAATTTTACAAAGCTATGAGAATACTTTTTGTGCGCAAAGAAAACTATAATAATATAATTTATTCAATCATTCTTCTCCCCGAGTTACCGTCTTCCGCCATTTTGGAGAGTACAGAGAGCTCTCAGATTTGATCAAAAATATCTTAATTTGTGTTCCGAAGATGAACGAAGGTCTTACGGGTTTGGAACGACATGAGGGTGAGTAATTAATGACAGAATGTTCATTTTTGGGTGAGCTAACACTTTAAACTGATGCATAACTCATCCCACACTGTCAAAAAAAAAATTTGCAAAAAATTTCAACTTTAGGGGAGCAACAGATTGTCACTGGGGCAGAACCCTCAAAGGGACACATTTGTACCTTGTTTACCCCTAAAGGGTTCATAATATGCCCTTAAGAGTACATATTACTATCTTAAGGTTATATTTTATAACTCCAAGGTACTGATATGCACCCTTTAGAGGAAAAGAAGGTACAAATGTGTCCCTTTGAGGGTTCTGCCCCAGTGACAAGCTGTTGCTCCCCTAAAGGTATACATTTTGCAGTTATTTATTTATTTAGAACGCTCATGTTTTGTGCTACAAGCAGGAAAGATACCTCAGATCATGCGGCTTGTTTCAAAGGGATTTTAATTACAAAAACAGGCAAGAAAATCTCATAGACTTGCATTGAAGGAGGGACTTGAGCCACATTTAGGGACCATACTATCATTGTCAAAGTCTATAGCCATGTCTTGAACCTAATGTTAATAGCTTTAAAATACCCGAATGGTATAGTCTTTTTTATAAAATAATTTAACTGAATGGGGGATGTAGAAGAAAGAAGAACCGTAAAAGAACAAGAATATTTTTAAACATTGAATCTTATTCACATGCCTAATATGTTGAAAATATGTTGAAAATGCAAAACGGAGAAAAATTTCCATTCTCGTCTTATTTGATTATGAATTGCATGAATCACAAAGATTTTCGAATCAGAACGGCAAAATTTGTAAAAAGTAGTTGCATCACTGGGTATTACTGTTGATTTCTATCACAAAACGGTTGTCAAATATTAAATGTTAAGTTTCCTGGTCAAAATAAATAAATAAAAAATAGATAAAAATGAAACATGCACGTATGAATTGTAACAATAATATCTCTAATATGCATTTAGAAAAAAAGCCATCCATGTAGAGCCATCCTTTGCAGCAATGATAGCTTTCAGACTTTTGGAGTATGAATGCATGAACGCACTTGTCCAGATGTCATTTTGCTCCAGGTTGTTTGACATTAGTCAGATGTTCCTTCTGCATTACAATGTTCCAATAGTGCCACAGATTGTGACGTCAGTGCAATAACTGTGCCATTCCAGGACATTCAGCTCTCTGTTCTTCAGCTAATGCTGAATGTCCTGCTTTGGCAGTTTTTAGCAGACTAAAAAAGAATATCAGTTGGTGATGGGCTCTTTTGACTTGGAGCAGTATGCAACCACACAGAACCTTGCAACAACCCAAAGCAACCAGAAAACCCAAATGCATAGCAACATGCTGAAAGATTGAAATTCTGACTTTTATTCTCACAATTCTGACTTCTTGCAATTCTGAGTTTGTATCTCACAGCTCTCACTTTTTTCTCAGAAAAATTGTGAAATAAAAAGTCACAATTAGCATTTTTTTTTTCATGGCAGAAATCATCTTCCATGGACAGTTTTATATTTTGTGAACAATTAATTTTAAGAATATTTTCTTAATATAATATAATATAATATCTAAGAATATTTTCTTATTATTTAAGTTTTATATCCTGTAGTGAATTAGAGCATTTAGGAAAAATGAAAGGACTTCTGCACTAGTATCAGCACCAAATGAAAGTGCAATCTGTTTGAGAAGTCTGTCTGGGCCAGATATAGCAGGGACTGTTTGCTTGAACAATAGCAGGCAAAAAGGATGTTTGAAAATTCATTATTTTTTTCAAAATCTGTTTTGTGCAAGATACACACTTCACCTTCATATGCAGGATTTGCAGTTCATTATAATTTGCGAATTGGGTCATGGTCTGAATACCTTTGCAAGGCGTCACACGTGTGGGGCTTGGCTTCAGCGGTCAGCATCCTTTGCACTAAGTGGACAGAGTCATAATTTAAAGATCATAGTTCACAAATAGTCATGAAGGTCATAGGTTAACATGACCAGAGAACTGTGCTAGTATTGCTTTGTGTGTTTGACAAATACAAGCTGCGTCAGTGACAATGAAAAGCGAAGCGCTTCAATTCTCAAATGTCTTTGTGTCATTCCATGATTTCAGATCGAAAGACACAGATTGGCTAGATTAAGTAACTACTGTCAATTTCCCATCAGCCATTGTTGAATATCACAGTGTGCAGTGCCTCGGAACGTGGTTCATAACTCCACCTGTTCCATAACCCAGTTACCACAGAAAATCATTTGGACTTGCCCTTCAGCTTGTAAAAATACAAATGTTGTTTACAGTAATGCATTTACAATGAGCATCTAAGGGGCAAGTGCACCAAATGGTTTAAAGCTGAAATGTGAAGCTATATACTTTGCACTGAGAAGGTTAGTAACTGATATTCTCATATTAGCTTTGTGTATAATCTTGTGGTTACACTTTCAAAATTGTATTTTAGAATTTATAACAGTACAGTGCCTTGTCCCATAGACTTCCATTAATGCAAGTGCGTTACTGTAAATAGTTTTTGTTTATAAAAACAAAACAAAAAAACTAAAACATAAGCTCAAGTAATTTTCTGCAGTAACTGACATGGTGAACTATTCTTTTAACTCTACTGAACCCAGGCAAAAACAAAAAGACAAAAAGATTTAGTTCAGCACAATAAACAGGCACAGACAGAATTAAACCCTTTATATTAAACTAAGTTTGGTTTTACAACATGTGTAATATGAGTTGCATTGGATAAACCCAGACCTAGGTCAGCAAAGCTAGCAAGATTCACTGCTTTTATTACAATTCGAATTTCATTATTTTTAAATTTTTATTGGAATACTTTTGCCTTCTCAAAAATTCAAGACTGCTATTTTTTCAGCTAAGCTTTACTCTATTCAACAGAGCTAGGATTGGAGAGAATAATGAGCACTGACAGATCTGAGATCAGTTATGCTGCTTTTCTTAGCATATTTAAAAGTAAAGGTCGAAAGGTCAAGCTGGTCCTGGGTCACTTCTTAATGGGGTTACACAAGTCCCTTTAGTGGTAATTCAAGTTCACTTCTGTATTCTCTCTACAGCACTGGTTGGTTCTAATGTCTCTTTGTATTTATAATGATCAATGATTTATGTAAGTATTGTACCTGAGTTGGCAAGTTGGAAAGGCATCGAAATGGCTGAACTTTTTTTAATCCATATAATTATTAGCAAGACTGAACTATCATTAGTTAACCTGAACTAATGTATATATACATTTAGTGCATTCCCTCATATGGTAATTTTGCCTGAATATGTTAAATTTACTGTCATGCAACAAGAAAAAATGAAAAAGGGAAAAAAAACAACAACAACAAGAAACAAACAAACAAGAAACAAGCCCTGTACTGAATGTATCTTGCTTGCCTTTAAAATGTGTGGAGAAAACTATTGTCACAGGTGTCATTTATGTCAACTACTGGAGAGCATGACAATCACAACAACACTTGCATGTTACACGCAAAAATTCAAGCGCATATACATACGTCTGTGTTGTGAATTCCATACAAAAGACAAATTCACAACTCGCATAATAAAAGCACATTGTCATTACAGATTCACATGTAAAAGGTCATTTAAACGAATTCAACATTTTAAAAGTGATTTGACATTCAGGAGATTCTCTGCCTAAGTGAAAAAACTGCCAAAAAAAAAAACATACTACATTTAATCCCATAATCAAATGTAAACAAATTTCATAAATAAAAAATCAGTTACTTTTAGGACCAAGACACAAGTTATGATAATTGTAATGAAAAAAAAAAAATCATGTTTGACCATATAGATAAGATATGTCAACTATTTTTTGGGGAGATTTACCTAAAAAGAGAATCCAAAGTCTGTGTAACACTGTATAAATAAGCACATACTGTATGCAGTGTCCATCACACTCAGTGTTTGTGCTGGTTGTGTAGTCAGACTGTATGAAGCAGCTGTGAGTTTAACACACCGATGATTTTATCTGATGAAACAAATGTTACACAACTGCATACTTAAACCTCTTGCACATTAGACCAGGGGTGGGCAAACTTGGCCCTTCCAGGCCACTTTCCTTCAGAGGTTAGCTCCAACCCTAATCAAACACACCTGAACCAGCTAATCATTGTCTTCAAGACTACTAGAAGGCTACAGGCAGGTGAGTCATATCAGGGTTGGATCAAATCTCTGCAGGAAAGTGGCCTGGAAGGGCCAAGTTTGCCCATCACTGCAACAGACAGTAGTGTTGAGTTGAACAGTATTCAGATACAT